AGAAAGCAACAAAAAAAATAAGATTTTCACAAAAAACTTTCCTCAGTGAAAAACATTCCAATCCATTTTAATATGACACTATTTTGTTATAAGTTTAAGATAGAATTATTATCCTACGTTGAATTCATGTTCGATAAAGCTGGAGAGGAAGATAAACTTATTCAAACCATCACCATGAATCACGGAGTTTTAAGTATTATTTATATTAAGGCTTCTCTAATCTTCCCGTTAATTTTCAAATAGCAAAAGTAAGCAAATTTTGAATAAAATAAGGATAAAGTATGCATCAGAATATGTAAAGGGCATTGAATCAAAAAATTATTACCTTATTCAACAACAACAAAAAAATAATAATTATAATTTTTGCAAAAAAAAAACTCCTTTTTCAAAAATTTCTACCTATTTTAATATGACACTAATTTGATATAAGTTTAAAATAGAATTATTATCCTACGTTGAATTCGATAAAGTCGTAAAGGAAAATAAAATTATTCAAATCATTACCATAAATCACCGAATTTTAAGTATTATTTGTGTTGAAACTTATCTAATCTTACCTAAACAGTAATATTAAGTTAAAAAGAATAAAATAATGATAAGATATGCATCAGAATATGTAAATGGCATTGTATTAAAACATTTAATCTCTATTTTAAAATTGTGGGAAGATCATTTTAGAAAAGCATATTAGAATATGATATGTTTTTCTGATATTATACGCGATCAATTTGATATTCTTTTTGGTAATTCGCAAAAATACAGAAAAATCGTGTAGATGCAATTTTAAACAATAAACTAAAAAAGAAATTTTTTTTTAGATTAGTTCTTTTAATGAAGAAACTAATTTTAAAAAACGCATATAATGCAGAAATCAGATTTGAAATTAAAATTTTATTTCAACAATTTAGTACTTGACAGTTAATTTAAGGTGTAACTGTGTAACCGGACCAGAGCAATATTTTTTATAGTATAATTAGACGAGACAAAAATTATCAAAATTTGCTTAATTTCCTTGATAAAAAAATGAGATGTTTTTAGAAAGTTAAGAATATAGGAATTCTAAATTAATAATAAACTCAGATTCGAAAATTTTTTTCCAAAATCATGTTTTTACACTAGTCAGATGATGCCTTAAAGATTAATTTGTTACCTATAATGAGTCAAGTAATGATTTTTAGATTTCGTATCTGATTCTTCTTATAAATATGAGTGATCAATTGCAACACCCTATCTTACGAAGCTCTGTTATGTCATGAAATTCATTTCATAAAGTAAATAATATCAAATATTATTATATTTTATTAATATTATATACCTAAAAAAAATAATTTTATTTTTATTTTCTGATATCTGAATATCTATGCAATACTATATACCGTGTAAATGATTTTTTATACTTAGTTTTATAATAAATTTTTAGTTTTAATAATTAATTATTATGAATAATTACATTTATTTAATATTAGTTATACTTTAGATATAAAGTAAAATGGCTAACTAAAGTTTAAGAACATTTCTAATATTAAATATTTAATATTAGAGAGAGTGAAAAAATTTTGTTACAGAATATGACTCTTTAAATTCTATTTACAAAAATTACATATATTTCCTCATTCATTGAGTAAAATTTTTAAAAATATTATATCTATATATATATATATATAGCTTATTAACATAATATTTAGATAGCGTAGAGAGGACATGTTAAGCAAAAAAAGTCATTCTCAACTTTGCAAGATTTAGTAACTTCAGATCTATTATCAAAACATATTTTAATGTGCTTTTACAAATTTGGGAGCATGAAAAACGATAATATCGTAGATTTTGGACAAAACATTAAAAAAGGCGCCAAACTGAACGACACAAGTGTATTTCTTAAACTTGATTGCACGATAGTGTGCTTGGACTTAAAGGAATACATGGTTCATAACACCTTAATAAGGTTACGGGAAATTCGCACCCTATTATGGTTCAAAGAACTGATATTATGGTTCAGCGTTTAATCGATTTTTCTGTCAGTGTATCGAAAACAGATTATTTTTAAGACTCTGTTGGGATAAATTAATGTTTCATATTTATTGTCGACTTAACATGCTGATAAGTTTAATGGATTCCAAAATATAACTTAACATATTCATCTTCTTCACATACAAATGACGTAATCGTTTCCATAACAAACTCAATATTTTCTTTATCTGTTGTAAATTTTGTTTTACAGCGTTTAGAACGCTTGAATATTCAAATACTAATCTAGACACATTCTTTTCTTTTTAAAAATCTTAACAGAAAGACGGGCAAAGTGTGATATATCGCACTAAAATAAAGGTGGGGCTCTATCATGACCTGATTGTACACCTTTAAAAAGAGTGGATCGGCTGCATTAGGGTCGGGCTGATCCACGCCTTAAAAAAAAGATCCACCTTGTCCTGGTACAGGGACAGAAAAAAAAGGGATTTTTTTTTTTATATATACACAACTGTTTTTATTACGCATTCGTGTTCGGAACTGGGTGGGGAATCTTACTTTTATACGCAAATGTCTCATTTGTTTACAAAGTTCATATTGTTTTTCAAATTTGAGTTCGCATATTCAGCTCAATGCGCTTAAAATGTAACTGAATAAAAGTTAGTTAAAATTGTTACAATATTTCATTCTAAAATCCTTCTCTCTGTTAGAGCTGAACGTTATAAGCAATAAAAATAATTTTAAATTCTTTTCCACAGAATTTCTCAAAAATTTAAATAAAATTATTGAAAAAATTGCTGGAAAATTACGTAAAATTAAATGCTTTTCATTTATGGTGTATTCATGAAATAATTAATAATTATAAAAATTTATATGCATGAGGATTGCAAATTATTTTAAGTAGATCGCGAAGTAATGAAATGTTTCAATTCTAACTTTAAAAATCAAAAAAATAATAAAATGATAATTTGATACGTTTATAAAATACATATAAGGTATCACAATAATTTTATCCCCAAAATGAAATCTCAATTCATCTAATAAAGTTTTATACATATGCTTGACACTGACATGGATGAAGTTATATTATTCTTGAAGCATTGAATTGTTTGAAATTGTCTGCTATGACAAATATTCATATAATTTTATTAAGATCAAGTTTATATTATTGGCATACATTATATTTCATGTATAATGCTCTATAGTTGATGAATCCCTTTTGCAATACGTAATATTATTTGATTTAGTGATTATTTCTCTTAGTCGTATTATTTAAATTATATCTTAAAATTTTTTAAATTTTGAGAAAAATATTCTAACAAATAACATTGATTTAATATTTGAATTACTGATGCTTACATTTTGAAAACATTTGTCAATTAATTTATATTTTTATGCAAGCATGAAAATTTTTTATTAAAAATCATGAATATATTTTTAGAAATTAGTGTACATATACCAATGTGTTTTACACACTACCAATCAGAACATTGTTAAGGATAAAACACTGTTGAAGTAAATAAAATCTCTTAAATAATCTGTTTATCAGAAGTGCTTACGGGAATTATGAATAGTTATTCAGATATTCGTGTTAGTGATGCTCACAATTACTAAAATCTTTCAACAAATATTAAAAAATTTATTTATTTCTTGTTTCGTCAAAGATTTACCATCAATTTATTACTTAAGTTAATGAAACATTTATGTTAATACTAGTTTGATTGATGCTCATCATTAAAAATCCTTCAGAAAAGAAAAACATTTTTAAATTAATGAATTGTCTTGTTATTTTCAAATAAGTTGTAGATATGGTCAACGCATCTGTAGATTTACGTAAATACTCGTTAAAACGAAACCGTTCGTTACAAAAAATTTTAAATCATTTTTAAATCAATTTGCTCTTTAATTCATAAAGGATAAATTATAGATATATTTCGCACATTTGTAAAATATTTATATAAATATTCGTTTAAATACCGTTAAGTACCATCATTACAAGAAAACCTTAAAAAGTAATTTTTAAATTTATTTACCTTTTAATTCACTATGGATGAATTATAGATATATTCTATAAATTTGAAGAAACGTTTATACAAATATTCATTTAAAAGATGTACATCATTTAAAAATCTTAATACATTTTTTAATACATAATGGATCGATTATAAATTTATTGCATAAATTTCAAAAACTTTTATTTGTTTTAACGAGACTCATAATTAAAGAAAATTTAAAAAACATTTTTAAATCAATTTACCTTTTTATTTATTACGGATAAATTATAGATACATCTCTAAAATTGGTGAAAACATTTATGCAAGTACTCGTTTAAATGATGCTCATCTTAACCTTGTAAAAATAATTTTTAAATCAACTTTTCTTTTAATTCATTATGGATAAATTATCGATGTATTCCGTAAATTCGTAAAAACATTTATGCAAATATTCGTTTAAATAATGCTCATCTTTAAAAAAAAAAATTTAAAATATTTTAAAACAAACTCATTTTTTAAAATATTATGAATAAATTATACATTTATTCCATAAATTCGTAAAAGATTTATGTAAGTATTCGTTCAAACGATGCTCATCATGAAAAAACCTTAAGAAATATTTTAAAACTAATTTATCTCTTAATATATTATGGATAAATTATAAATTTATCACATAAATTTGCAAAGACATTTATGTAAATATTCGTTTAAATAATGTAATATTCGTTAACATCATTAAAAAATAGATATTTAAAAATATTTTTAAACTAATTTACGTTTTAATATATAATGGATAAATTATAAATTTATTCCGTAAATTGGTAAAATATTTATCTAAGTTTTCGTTTAAAGGTTCATCAAAAAGAAACTTAAATTATTTTAAAACTAATTCATTACGTTAAATCATAGATGTATTCTATAAATTCGTAAAACATTTATGTAAATATTCATTTAAATGATGCTCAGCATTACAAAAACCTTTTTTAACTCAATTGAATTCATCATAAATAATAAAAAAAAATCTTTCCATAAAATGCTCACCATTAAGAAAGCCACGTCGTGAAGTCGAGTAGTTCTTCATCTTCCGGACTGAGACTATCGTAAGGTGAACTTGCATCGGAACCTAAACTCGGCGTTGGAGATGAGCAGGGTGGGGATGTGAGTCCACCGAACGACAACGTACCTCCAGCGGCCGAGTTGAGATGCAGCAATGCCGCATCTCCAAAATTATGAGAATTGTTCGTGGCTGATGGATGATGCAAATGATGCTGAGCAGCAGGATGTAAATGTCGGAATTGTTCTTCAAAAGATGGAACACTGTTCTCCTCATCACCACCCACATCTTCGTCCGTTAGTAGTTGCTGTAACTGTTTGATATATTGAACTGCTGACCTGAGAGTCTCTACCTTGCTCATTTTCTTACTTTTGGCCCCATTTGGAACGTGTTGTCTTAGAGTGGCGAAACCTAAATTGACCTGTCGGACTCTGTTGCGTTCTCTTTCGTTTCTTCTCGCCACTGCTGGGGCCGCCGACCCCCTATGATGGGATCCTTTGGGCCGTTTATTTTTAATAGCTGTGGTATGGTTGTCGTCATCTTGCCGCTGCCTTTTGGGGACAATTTTGCTGACCGTTGTCCTGTTGGAAGCTGTTGTTACTGTTGGTGAGGTAGATGCTGTGAGGATGTATGTCGTCGCTGAGCTAATAGGGTTGAGGCTGGTTGAATGATCATTTAAATTTTCTAAGACTGTTAGCGTCGTCATTTTGATTGGTTTTTAAGTCCGTTAAAATACTCGCTTGTATCTGAAACTAGCAAATTATCGACGTATCTTCATCACGTTATGATATAATTAAAAAAAAAATTTTAACAGGCAACAGTTGTATGAATTAACAACTTAACAATACGGGTTTTGTAATGAGGCCTGATGTTTATAAAAATACAGAATTAAAATCGTCTGCACTACTCGTAAAATCCACAATTCTTAATCACAGTCCATTTGTAACAAGCTCTGAAAAAAAAATCGGTGATAATGAATAAAAACTCTTGGAGGTAAATTTTTATCAAGTACGAAAGGTGTAAAGTCCCGAACGCACTCCAAACAAGCAAACACAACAAACGAGATAAAAATGTTCGATAAGACCACAAACGATGAGGAGAGCGAAATCAAAAATGGAAAAACGTCCCGTTCTCACCGGTACCTGCGAACGTACTGACAATTTCGTCCTGCCCGGCCCACAGTTAAAAGCTCCCCACTCATGAATATGAGGCCCCTCCTGTAGCTTTGTGTCTCGTGCCTATAGTTCTGGTCGCGTGGCTGCTCGACCCTCCCCCCCCCCTTTACTACACCCCTTCACCCTTTTCTAATATTTTTTTTCTTCTTTTTCCTCCTCTTCTTCCGTCGTTGAAGAAGAGGAGGGCTCCCTTCCCCCATCTTCTCCTTTTTCTATCAGAAGACGTTTTTCTTCTTTCTTTTTTTTCAAAACATTTTTTTTTTTCTTTTTTTGCTTCTACTTTTCTACAACCTTGGAGACGTAAGAGAAGGAACAGATGGACGTAAAAATGAGTGAATATGGTAGAGATGTTGGGGGATCGCGAAGTGAAGAAAAAAAAAGAAGAAAAAGAAAAAAATAGGAAAAAGGAGATGGATTGATTTATTTTGTTGTTTATTAATTTTTTTTGCATACTCTCTACGTTTTTTTTTTATTTACTTTTGTTGGGTTTCGTAGATATGAAAAGGGTTTAGTTTAAACATAGGAAATAATATGCATAACGGTAGGCATATCCTTAGGGCATATTCGATGCTCATTTTATGTTTTTATTTTATCTCGCTCTCTTAATTGCATATTATATTTATGTATTACTCTCTTTCATATCATGTCAAACAAGTTCCGTTGGAGGGTCATTACGTAATGTGTTTTTTTTTTTTGGTCTCAGTAGTTGGTTTGATTTATATTTATATATAACAGTTTGTCCTTCTGTTATTTAAATGGTTTCAATTATACAACGTTTTTACTACTTAACGTTTACAATTTTATGTTTCTACAACCTCAATTTATTTATGTGACATAGGGTACTACGTAATTTCACTTTAGCTTAAAGCAAACTTGACATTTTCTCTTTGTAGATAGATAAGCTTTAAAATTTAACTACTTTGCACTTCCTGCCAAGTAATCTTTAATAATTCAAGTATTTTGCACTATATGTCTATTCATTTATATAGCGTGTACTACAAATTTGTTACTTTACCTTTGGTAATAGATAAACTTAGAAATTTCTAAGCTTGGACATTTAATTTCATTGTTGTTAATTTCAGCTTCATTTTCTCTTCATTAAACTTCAATTCGAATATTTTGCGCTATATTTATCATACGTCTCTTACGTCATATGATGTTATGTAAGCTTAACTAAATTATGTATTTTGTACTATAAATACACTATTTCACTCTTAAAAGCTATTTGAACTTTACTTTGGAAAATTTGCACTGCATTTGATTTCTAAGAATTATCTTTGCACTTAATTCTCTGCCTTTAGTGTTGATTATAAATGAAAATTCGTATTGGTTTTAGTATTCTGAAAATATAAAAACCCATAGCATTATAATTCGATATAAATTGTGATTAAACTTTTTACTATTTTGTGAACATTTTATTTTTTTGCAAAATATTCCTATAAAAATAGTTTGCAGTAAAAATAGTTTAATTTACAATAAAAAAAATATGTAAAACTATGATGAATTATGTATACGGATGCTGTAATTTACCCAGTCAAAAAAGTTTTCTTACTATTTTTTTATCGAAAAATCTTTGGTATTTTTAATTGCGTGCTTATTTCACTCATTTGCTTTACCAAAATTTTTTATTCTTTACGCTTTAAAATGTGTGTATCAAAGAAAAGAAAAAAAAAAGACAACCATACTTCCTCCAATTTTATTCCAAGTGACTCTATAATTAAACAACAGCAAAAAAAGGCAGTTATAAGATCTATGTCAAAAATTAGAAATTAGATGCAAAAAATGTAGAAATAAAATAAAATAAAATAAGATCAAATAAAAACAATTTTTAACTAGTTTAAATAATTACACATGTACAAATTTAATCAAAATCAATTTAAAATTTTAAGCAAAATGCACATCAGTAACTTTGTGACGCAATAAAATTTATATTATTAAATTTAGTTACCGAATTTCAAAAAAGAACATCAATAGACAAGAATTGTTTCATATTTAAAAGCAGTTAGCCAACTTGATGAACGAAAACCAGTTTAGAATGTTTAGTCAATTAACGCAAAAAAATTCTAATTGAAATAAAAATCTCCTAAGTCAGTAAGTTGCTATTTCGTTTTGAAAATGAAATTTAAGGCAGCTTACACTTATTTAGCTCAAAAGACTTATTTAGCTCAAAAACAACTTTTTTTAGCTTTTGAAATCAATCAGCACGCAAACTGTAACTTACAAAATTAAATCAAAATCAGTATAACTAAAACAGCAATATCATTAAAAATTTTGGTCAAATTTTAAAATTAATTATAAATTTTAGCAAAAATTATTTTGAATTACAATGAAAATTTCTTTTCTCGCAATTGAGTTATTGAATGGGAGAAAGTAATGTTAATAAGGACGAGAACCGTTTTCGTATTTAATGTCATTATACCAAATATTCTCCAAATCTGCTTTTAAAAAGAAATATTAGCACCAAATTATGTATCGGGCAGTGATATATATTCATGAGGGTTATCATCAAAATTTATGATACCTTGCTTCTGATTAAGGCTCTTTTATTATATCCGCGATAATCGGAGCCCAAAAGAAAAAATTCTAAGGAAGAAAAAAAAATTATGATCAAATGTATTATCAGTACCAGACTTTTTCGCCCAATGCATGATTCTCATTTTTAATGTTTCGTGTTTAGTAATTCGCGGGGAAACGTTTACTTTTAATGATCAAACTAAAGAGATGTTTTAATAAAGCAGTTGTTGCAAGGGAATGGATATTGCCATTTAGTGAAAGTCATTCGCGGAAATTTATGTTCTGATAGTTCACGTCATCATTTCCCCCCTTCTTTTTTGGCAGGAAAAGAAACCGTATGTCTCAATTGTTCCTGAGAATGTAGAAGTTCTCCGGTAGAAATGATTAAGTAGCAATTTATTTAATCGTTATTTTACCATTTTCAGCCAAGACAGTCAAATTACCATAAAAAAAGAGGATATTCAAACAGTTAAAGGTGAGTAAAAATGTTTATTGAACGTTTTTTACCTAATACGGTTTAATAACCAAAATTTCATCCTCGCTAACTAGTTCCACCTGATGAAGTCATTTTGTTCCGCGCTGCTGGGCAGCTGAGAGGGCTAATCGGTCCATCTCACCCTCTGAACAAGGGTTCGAATCCTAACGTTGATACCACTACAGTTCTTCGATTACTTCGATACATGAAAAGTTTCTAGTCTTCTACACTCTTCAATTGGTGACCCTAGACTATTAGAATACGAAACTATCATTCACGCATAAATGGCGCAGTACCCACAGAACACCATTGTCCATTTAAAATTTATTTTTATGGTTCAGAAACAATGTTAGTTGTAAATGGTTACAAAACCGTTTAGTTTTCCATTCACTGTCTTTTAACCATATCAGTTATAAACGGTTTCCAAAAAGTGAAGGTTCCTTACCATAAACTTTATGGATAAATGGATGGACATACTGCTGCCAGTTATTTCAGTGTAATTTCAGAATGAAAATTCTAAATCAACCACGAATTCCACTGTACAAGTTCAAACAATTATTGTCTTCGTTTGTTTGAGGATCTTGTCAAAAGCATTAAGTTCTGGATAGCAAATATAGGAATCTGGATAGCAAATTCTGGATAGCGCAATAAATTAAGAAAAGGAACGCAAATTGAGTTCGATTGAATGTCTTCAGCTTCCAATCAAAAAACCGCATCTGATTACTCCAATCCTATAAAGCTATTCTTAACTCTTAACGGAGTATAAGTGTTTATTGATTGATTTAAATAAAGACAGGACTTTACTTTCACGAACTTCGGTAGCTTTCAGAGATTTTGATTTAGAAAACATCTGTGAAATATATGTAATGAATTATATGTTTTAGACCTTAAAACATGCGTTATTCCAATCTTAACTAAAATTAAAATCATCAGTGAAATTGAAATGCGTACCATTCGAATTACTTTATTACATAAACATTATCTGTTATACGAAAATGAAATAACTGATTATTTTTGTTTATTGTATTGAAATGGATGCTATAGTTTAACTGATTAAAAAAGCTTATTCTTGCTTATTGTATTGAAATGGATGCTATAGCTTAACTGATTAAAAAAGCTTATTCTTGTTTATTGTATCGAAATGAATGCTATAGTTTAACAGATTAAAAAAGACCATACAACTGAAGCTTTTTCGAAAGTTGAAGGAATGAGTTGAAATGATTAGTTTCATAGTAATTAAATTTTTTTTAAATAACTCTATAGAAATTGAATAATGGCGAATTAAAGGTATTTGCTTCCACAATGAAGAACTAGATTGTTCAAACAGATCACCAACTATGCACAAAGTAGACTGAGTAAAAAAAAAGGTCAAAACTACCTGAATATGGTAAATTTACCGTGTTTCTGGTTCTATAAGAACACCAAAAAGCTGGTAATTTTTACCGAAGCACAGTGGTTATGATTTCACTAAAATTAGCAGTAAAATATAATTTTATAATGTGTGATAAAATTTGATAAATGTGGTAAAATTTGGGAATTTATCACAATATCTTAGGACGTGAGGTAAAATTTGCTTATTTTTCAGTTTTGTACTTTTTACTAAACGTGCGGTAATAAGAACGATAATTTTAAAAACCAGGATCTCCGATAAGCAAATAAAGAATTAAAAAAATAAAAAAAATAATAATTAACATAAGTATTTTTGTTCTTAATATAGCTCAAAATTTTTGAATAAATACTATCACGGATAGATCCAGCCATTGGATGAATACTATCATTATCATAGTATTACTGTCAACATGTGATTTTTTTTAGGGAAATCTTGAAATGACATTGAAAAGTAGTATATATTTAAGACTTAGAAAGAATCAAAGAGAACTTAGAGAAAATTAAAAACTATGTAATTTTGCTGTCCTCAACTTAAAATCAAATTTCATCTGACGATGTCACGTAAATTTGATTTCAAATATGTAAGATTTCATTTATGTTAAGTTGCACTAGATTTATTATTTTGTTTTTAATTTTACTGAGGGAACTTCTGATTCATTTTTGCTATTTTATTTGAAAATAGTAATTATTTT